AAGTAGGAAAAAAAAGTTTGCCGACACGAAAATGTTGATGTTTATTCCATTGTCATTCGATCTTTGTTTCGATGCAAAATAATCCCAACCAAAAGTTCTTATGGTTTCGTTTTCAATATTGTATATCCGCTGAAGCTGGACAAAATCTTTTTTCACACTGACCACACTGAAATTCAAATGTTGTGGCTATGCACAGAAGAAGTTCGTTGTACGCTTACTTGTTTGCGTTGTACTAGTATAGTTTTGCTTGCACAGTACTAGACAAAACAAAAAAGAACAATGTTAAAACAATGGGCTTGCAATAAAAATGGTCAATCGCTGCACGAAACTGCACACTGCGTTTATTTCTTTCTGCTATTTTCTTGAATATCTTTTTTCCGTTTGTCTCACATACACACACAGGTAGCTTAAATCGCTTCTTTTCGAAATAAATTCACTATTTTGCCATGCATTTCACATTGAAAATTCCTAGTTCTAGATGCAGCACAAACAAATAAATTGTTTTGGACATTTGCACAGCTTCATTCATTATTCATTGGTCGGTTCGTGGCAAACGAATCTCGAAACGGCTTCCAAGAAATGCGTGCAAATGCACGCAGTGTGTGCTCGGCCAATTCAATGGCACATCCCCGGAGAATTGCACACAGTCGCACTCGTACACGCAGCTCGGCTGCTTTAGAAGACCGAATGCAAGAAAAAAAAAAACGATAAACTTTCCACAGTCGCACACGGGCAAAAATGCCATAAATTCACTTGCGAACCGAGCGAAACAAATACGATTCACTTCTTGGAATTGTCAATTTTGCGTTGTTTATGCGATGCGGCGATTGAATATTTACTTGATTGCTAATTTTGTTTATCGGATCTATTCAATCGGCTTTGCAGTCACTTGGTTATTGACAATTTTTCAAGAACATATTTGTTGCTGTGATTTTTTTTTTTACGCTTTGTAAATTGAATTCAACTCTTTCAACTTTGAAATTTTTATTTTTCACTTTTCAATGTTTCAATATTTATCATCAGTTTCGTCTTCTTTTTCTTCAACTTTTGCTATTCATTTCTTATGTTTCGGCGTCTTTTCTTTAAATTGCACTCAAATCAAATTTCCCTTTAATCAACTCAATGGTTATAAAACTTTTTTTTATTAACTCGTCAATAATTTCGGCAGTGTTTCTTTTTTTTGCAGCTCATCGAAATAAAACGCGAAATTTGCATAAAATCCAACTAGTCAAATGTTCAACTAACGGCCACTTAAGTAACAATAAACCGTTTGATTTGAATAATTTATGTGAATTTCGACAGAAATTCCTTGATACACTCAGGCTATCGTAACCAACAGAAAAAAGACTCTTCTGCGTTATCAGATCAACGAACCGAAATGCGATTCACGTGAAGAAAGTTGTCGAAACGATGTGATGCGCATGCGATTCAGGGAGCAACTGAAGCCAATTGTTTACAAACACCAAGTCGCGAGCAACGCGATCGGCAGCACAGACGCAAGCGACGCGACTCTGCAAACAGGTATTTTTTGTGTGTGTCGGATTTTTCGTTGGTTCGCAGCGAACGATATGCTGACAAAACGCAATACGAATTGATGTGGCTTATGCTCGATCGTTTCTCCGCCGAAACGACGCTCAACATATCAGCGTTGCGCTCTTAACAACCGATCATAAACCATTCCAATGGTGTCGGTTTTATGCGAGTCTTTCGTTTATACGAGAGATAGGTGCGTCGATTCACTTCGCTCATTCTCTTTTCAATCGTGATTCTCTGTTGATAAACAACGCTCTCTTTCTTCTTCTCGCTTTACTGGGCTACTGCAAAGCACTTGCTTTATAACAGGTATCATTTCGAAGGGGAAATGCCGTGAACAGCGTAAAAACGACCAAGCAACAACATGCTTAACACCAAGCAGAGAGATATGGCTATTGCTCAAGTGAAAAAGAGAGAAGCAGCGAGCCCTGTTTCCCCATCGGCACGTCACCGAGTCATATTTACAATATTCGTTCGAAAGTCTGGCTGCATCGTGGATTCGATCGTTACTTGTTTCGAATTGGCTCGTTCTGTTTTATCTCTTTATGGATGTTTTCACGCGATCGACTCAAGCACAGGCACAGTCGCGTCACTAGCGAGTCGTTCAAAAGTGCATTTGTGAGTCTGTTCATTCATTGTTGCCGTTGGCTTTTGGCCATTGATCCAAGAGCAGCGATAAGCCAAAAACGTGTAACAAACCATTTTTATTTCTCTTCAGTATTGCGTTCTTTTTCTGACTTTTTTTTTCTGCTCGTCTTTTTGGTTTTCGATCGTCTTCGGTCGATTCTGAACGGTATTCAAGTTCTGGCCATGGATCGCCATAAAATCGGTTTCAATGATTAATCAAATGGTCTTGTGCGCACAATGCATCGAAAATGGTCATGTCCATTCATTTAATTCTCACGCTCGAGTGTGTCTATGGCCTGAAGTGATCGTCTTCGCGTTTCGCCATCGGCGAATTCATATTTGTTTCCTCCGACGTTTATTTATCTTTGGGCTTCATTCATGCTGAATGATCTTGCGTACGTGTTTACCTTTTCGAATTCTTGTTTCTATTTACTTTGAAAAATTCAATTTAAACGCGACACATTCCTTCGGTGAATTCCATACGACATTCTCGAAATAGAGTCTTTATTCCTGTTTTTGAGCATTTATTCACACCTTTCTATTTCTCTGCTCTCGGTCAACAATTGACACTGACGAAGTTCCGGGCAAGATGTCAAGTCAAATATTTGAAAAAAGGTTGCTTGTTCCAGGCAAAAATGTGAAAGAAATGTCGTTCGAATAAATTGTTTTTAAAGAAATTGTTGTTGTGAGTCAATACGCATGACAATTAATAGAATCAACGGATCTTTTTGGTTCAGCGAAAAGAGAAACGCACGACGCTTGACAAACAGTCAGCGTGTTCTTTTTTCCTCTCTTTTGTCTATTTACACAAAACCACGCTGTGCCGTATGCTGTGACAAATTCACTCTTGAGTCAGCGCGCAAAATTTCGATCAATTCGAATTATTATTTATGCTAAATGGCCATCGCGAGCTTAATTCGCTATTCAAACAGTTCAAACGCTAATAAATCATAACCTGCTTTGACTAACCATCAAAGCCGTTTCTGTTGATTTTCTAATGAAGAAAATTATGGACTTGAATCGATCGAACCCCTTCCAATCCACATTATTATTCATTCGAACTTCCAACACATGTGATTATGGTGCCATTAAGCACTGTCTTTTTATTAGTGAGACTTTTGTGATCGAAGTCGGCTCTTCGGCAGAAATAACGGTGAAAGATGAATGAACGAACCTAATCGAACCCACCTAAAGTTCAAATTGAATCGATAGAAAAAAGTTCAAATCAATTTTTGAACTCGCCAGCTGCGCACCATGTGCGACAAGACAAAGTTTTTGCCAAGAAAAAAAAAACACACAAATTGAAATGTATAATAGAGAGAAATTGATATCCACATGAGACGTAGGTTTTGTTGTTCAAAAACACTTACTACTGTATAATGGACGGAGAATATTTGATTGAAACTTTACTTCGCATTGTTTTTCCTCATACTTGATCTATCTCTTTTTGTTTGTTTTTTCTTTTATCTCTTTCTCTTTCTAGCGTTCATTTTCATCTCTTTTTCTCGGAAATGTTGAACGACACTCAATTTCATGTGATCAAATGTATTCAGTGTGTGGCCATTGTTTATCATTCAATTTATAGTTTAAGTGAACACCACAAAATTGCATATTCAGCGGTGAGACAATAAAATAAATCACCAGAGGTTGAACCGCTGGAGAGGTTAATGGACGATTTTTGCCAAATTCACCTTGTTCGACGCTGTTACTTTGATTCAAGATTCCAAATCGATTTTCTCTTCGGGAGTCAATCAACCAAAATCAGTGATTTGAAATCACTTTGCATAAATTTCTGTTTATTTTATAATTCAAATCTTTTTTTATGTTTATAACTCTAAAAAATATCATCAAAAGAGAGCAAATTAGTGGGGAAAAGTAAACAAAGCGTATGTTTTTCGTCGGAAAAAAGTATACATTTTTGAAAGATATTGAATAAAGCATATGTGCCTTGAAGAACTCATAGATCCTTCTTTGATTTGTCAAGATTCAATATTTTTGTATTACCATAATAAAATGATCATCGATGTCCGGTGAAATACATATTTTGATAGATTGTGATGCTTTCACATATCAGAGGAACGATAGATTTGTGAAGAATTTCAGTTATTTCACCGTCAAATCAGTGGGATTTCTGGTTAAAATATTGTTCTATCGTTCCTCCAACGGTTTCTTCATTTTCATTCATAGCTGTAGGCTTATTCTTCAGTAAATAACCAATTTAAATATGGTTTTAGTCGCCGAAGAATATCAAGACATTTCTTCAACGTCATAAAAGTTTGTCTGAACAAATAAAAATGATTTGTTGTTGCTAAAAATGTGAATTAATCTCTTCCACTTTTATCACAGTCGATTTTCAAGTATGGAAATGATAACTACCAATCTGACAGCATAAATCACAAATTTAAATATCCGCTAAAAAAATCTCTCTAGACAAAGTGTCGTCGGACGTCAACCAGTTGCCACTTGTCATTCATGACTTTTGAAATGTTCCATTGTGGCTTGTTCGCTTTTCTCTTTTGATCGGAGATTCACAGAAGCTATTTTAGGTGATTAAGAAGAGTTTCGTATGATTTTTTCTCCTTTTCCAGTTTTTTTCGTTCTTTCTCTTCTTTCTATCTTTTTCCATTTTTGTTAATAATTTTTTTTATTTTCTAACCTTTTCTATGCTTTTCTCTGTTTTATTTCATCATTTGTAAATTTTCTCTATTTTGCATTTGTTCATCGTTTATATCTATTGAAGCTCATGAATACTGAGCTGAAGTGGTATTAATAGCTTTTTAATAACTCCTAATTAGCCACTAAAAACCCAATAAAATAAGTGAAGGTGACAAAACTCTTACCTTCGACATCGAATGTTTGTCGTGTTTCCTGAGCTGCGCCTGCTTCTGTAGAATGATGGCGGTTTGTTTGTTACTTTTGATTTCCTCGAGCTGCATAAAAAACAAACAAACAAACAAGCATTATAAAAACAATTGAGTTCCCATTTAGGGTTTGTTAATGAAAGAAAAATGGCTTTTTAAATTTCACTTTTTGATGTGATAAAACCGTTTCACAATGCCGTTTCTCATATCAATTTCATGTCGTCGGCCGTAACTGTCTCTCATCCCAAACAATACTCGCGCTGATTTGAGCAAGAAATTTTTATCGAAGAATCACAGCATTCGATGCAAATAACGGCAATTTTTCGATGATAGAGTACAAAACACGTGTTGAGCGCGAAGAAAAAAAAAAGTATTTGATAAAGAAAACAAAAAAAAGAAGATGGATAAAGAGCAAATAAGTCGGAGGTCGTGATATGAAACGTATGAACGTGCTTCAAACATAGACCGAATAGAAAGTGCTTCCAGGCACAAATACAGAAAACAACCAGAGACACACATACACATAATTAAATCATTACATTTACTTATTTTACAAGCCATATAATTGCCATAACAATTTATGTTCGCTATTTTCTGCTTCAACTTCAAGTTGAAGTCAATTCGTTTTGTTTTGGTTTGGTTTTGTTTTGTTTTCTGTCGAGCTCACATTCATTCGTGATTTTTCCAAATGATTTGTAATTTAGCGCGACAATGATGAGATCGCTATTTTCATAGTCATAACGACTTTTAATAACACCAACAATAACTTCAATACCTCTACAAATTAGATTCATTAACATTCCGCACCGAGATGATCCCAGCGGCGGTACGTCGATTAGTTCCGAGATCCATATAGAGATTTTAATCTGCGAACGCTATTTTAATTTGGAGCGCTTTGAATAGGAAGAAAAATTCTTTTTAGCTTGATTAATGGTGAGGAGGAATCTTTTTTATGGATGCCAAAGAAATTTCTTTGGATATGGAGATGAACCGATTTTCACTCAGATTATTTTGAAGATACCAATCTTTTGTTTGTTGTGAAAATCGAAAAGTGTCTATTTAGCAATAATTTACAAAGATTCAAAACTCTCGAATCATCTGCAAAAGACTTGGGCAAATTGGAAGCGGTAGATAATCAATTATTACCCTACGATTTCAAACGGAATTTTAGTTCTGAGTATAAATTAAAATTCAATTTCGAATACAGTTCGACTGATTGTTGCTTCAAATCAAAGCGGAGACATAGTCAAATTAAGAATTGAACCAAAAAAAGCATTTTAAGCAAGACATTTTCAATGGGAAAAATTGTAAGAATAAAGAGTCGATTTAAAATTTTATTAAAGACGTCGATTTTTGTGTGTACGAACATCTAAAAATCGAATATGATTGGCAAGAAGTCAAAGTACGTTGACTGAATTGACGAAGTAAAAGTATCGATTCATCATTGTTGATTTGTTACTTCTGATAAACTTGCATTTTGCAACAATTCGTTCATTTGCGCACGCAATTCAATTTTCCATGCCAACAAAACCTCATCGTATCGATGCGCCCGCATTCTCTGACTCTATTGAACCGATCGCAAGTAAATGAAAGGTAGCTGGCGGCGAGCACTTGAAATCACAGCAATCATTTTGATTGCGTGTATATATTTCTCTATGCTATTGCATATCAAGTCAATTCCAAATTGTTGAAATTTGTTATCATTCAGGACGTCTCCCGTTTTTCTCCTCTCTTCTCTCACTCCCACTTGCCGGTTTTTTTGTTCCGTAGCTAATGAACCGTGCAGAAAAACATAAAAAGCGTTCGAACGTAAACATGACTCAGCGACGAGGTATTTAAAATGAGCGAAAAAAAAGAGCTCAGCACCAGGGAGAGAGCGTCATTCTTCTGCAGCATGTTTACAGGAACACAAAATCGTGTACAAAAATGTGTGCCTCGGGTGGTGAATCTGTGTGTAGAAACGAACCAAAATGCAATTTGTGTATGTTCCCCGCCCACTCGTGCATCGTGCTCTTGCTCCCATTCATCCGCTGACTCGCATTTCGGATCATTTTTGCACCATAATTTGCGTTAAGCGAACCAAATCCCTTTACATTTTTTTCTGTGCTTTAAAACGATACGACGATTATTATGAAAGGACTCTCTCATTGATATTTATTCCAGATTCACTTGTTCATTCATCTAAAATTCTCTCTCTCTCGACTCTGTGCCTCCGGCCAATAAGTTCAAAGCATTGTATAATTGGAGAGATGAAGTTTTTGACCGCCGGCCAAAACACACCAACAAAAAAAATAACGCGCATCATCAACATTTACCGTCCAACACGAATATCAACAAGTCGCACACAGGGAAAAAAAATAGGATCAACCACTCACCACACAACTTTCCCACGGTTTATCGTCAATGAACGCATAATTGAACTCACCGTGTTCGGATCTCGCATTAGGATACAAAAAAAAAACTCACTTTGAACTACTCGGGATGAACGAAATCTTGTTCACATCAAAATTGATGATATCAACCTAGTCGTCCGATGCGCTGAGTCATCGGGACGAGACATTAGTAACATGCAATGCAAAAACCGGCAAAAACGAAGCACAAACATTGACCACAACGGATGTATCGAGACGATTTTACACTTCTTTTGAAGGTTGAGTTCAAATGGTGCATTTGAATAACTAATTTTTTCGGGTTGAATTCGTTGATTTTGTCTATTTTTAGGGATTGTCATTCCATTTCTGCCAATTTGTGAATTGTTGAACATAAAAATTCTTGGTACTTTTTATCTATTTTCAAGAGTTTTTTCCGTGTTTTTTTATATTTTTTTTTTTAACAACAAAAATTTGATGTTTTTTTTAGCAATTTTGTCATCCGATGATACATTTTCTTTTGGAAAATCTGCAGCACTTCTGGGACAAACAATCATGTAATATGCTTAGAAAAGTTAATTTTTCTTTCTAAAAAAATATGTTTTTTAGCTAAAAAAGCAATCAAAAAAGAATCAAATGTCTCATTTAAGTTTTTGTCTTCGTTTAAAGAACGATTTTCAACTGAAAATCGACTTTTAGCTCACAATTCAGCTTTTCATTGTGCAAAAAGACTACACCCCATTGTGCAGAATGATTTTCGGAACAAAAAATGAGATGAATTTCAATCCCTTCTCAAAAATGCCATTCTACAAATAGTGTATGTAACATGCTCCGATCTATTTGCAAATGTAATCTAAAACTAAGCTGAACGAATGTTTGCCAAAAATCGAAATGCATTCGATTCCGTTTGAATCTAAAATTTCGTTCAATCGATTAAATTCCCAAAATAGTTCAATTCACATGCGTTAATGCCGTGTGTCCAACATTGTTGGATTCCAACTATAATGTGTTCAGATGGCAAAACCTGCAGCCAATATTTCGAATGGAAGCTGAAACGGTGTAGCCTTTTGCTCGTAAAAGATGTTTTGTTTGTCGTTGTTGTGACCGCGTTGTTGTTTGTGTGCGTTGGTATTCAGTCGAATGCGTCCGATTTTAATTAAATTCTCAATAAACTAGTGAAGCATAATGCTTCTGGACCGGACGGCGTTAAAGGTAGCCAACCAACCAGGCTGCAGTCGTTTGATGTTAGCATTTGAAAAATGTCAATAATCAGTGTCGTTGTGTTGTTACCTGTAACATGTCGACGACATATTCTGACACTTTTGATTCCAAATTGGTGTGTTCGTATCCATTCATTAAGAGACACGAGATTATTGAGATTGGGAGAATTGGCGACACAGGGAAGCAGATGAGGAGAGAGAGAGAGAGAGAGAAATAGATGAATAGAAAGAGAGAAAGATAAATAGAGGAACCCGAATAGAGATATGCTTCTCTGTACGCATGCAACCGCATGTTCCGGCTTATGCATTTGCTGAACAACAAACAAAATGTTGGAATTCAATTCGATTAGAGCGAGAGTATTTTGGTTCAAGCTTTGGCCCAATACATTTTCACCTGAAAACCTTTTACAGATTAATTGAATGCCCCAAATTTGTAGACACTTCAACGAGCACTCGACCTGCGGGTAATAACAGTAATCGTTTGATTGGAAACACTTACCAATCGATTTATCTCCACCTTTGACGCCTTCTCAGCTTGGCTCAATCGATGCTCGTACTCATCCTTCAGCTGACGAATATCACTGATTTTCCGGCGCTCAGCCTTTGACGATTTCTGTTCAACAAGACACAATCGTGAGCCATTGATTGGACTATGTAAAATATGTTCAATTAATTATATTTTATGTGGTGATGCTGCTGGCCCAAGCTGTCAGTAAAACCATTTCTTTAAATGCATTTTGTGGTTTTATTACACAATTTTATTGCGCCGCACGAAATCGTCACACAATTTTATCATTTCAATTCAATCAAAACAATCGTTTCAGCTTTTTATGGGGCTTTTTGTGTGCATTTAACTGCTATAATTACGATTCCAATGCCCACATCATTTCCCATTGAGAGTAAAACAACAATATTCAATAAAACTGATACGTCTACAGAACAGCTGAAATGGATTTTTAAACTAACAACTGAAAAAAAATACATTCAAATGAAAATTACGCGAAAAAAATGTATTAAAAACGTTAACAGCTCGTGAAAATGAATCAGTTAACGCGATTGAATCGCTGTGGCAAGAGACATTAAAAGAATTGCGCGCATTTTTATATGTTCCAAATCGAGTCTGTGGTTATATTACTTTGATATATATTGAGACGGCCTAATTTATATGTTGGCCAACGAAAATGACCGAAAATTTTGTTTTAATAAAGAAAAAAATCAGAATAAAACGAATTTTTATCTTCGAAAATAGGAAAATAACAAAAAGAAACGAAAAGAAAAAACGAAAATGGAACATTTTGAACCGATTCGGGCTTAAATACAGAAATGTTTTAATTTCAAATGAAAAATGAAATGAAACTCACCTGGGCTTGTTCTGCCAGTTGCTTATTTGTCTCTTTGAGAGCTTCGATTTCTTTAAGAAGTCGGTCGATTCGCGTCGACTGCTCTGAAAGCTGACTGTTTTGAGACATTGTCACCGGAGTTGAGGCGCTTGTTCGATCGGCACTTCGTTGTTGCTGCTTCAAACTGGCACCTGTTTGTTTATCGCCACGCCATTTCAATGAGTGAATTTTCTCCTTGCGGAAATTTGCATCATTTTGAGCGCTGCAATTTGAAATCGGTAAGTTTGAGTTTATTGATTGCAGTGTCGTATATCACGTTTATGTTTTGAAAAATGGTAAAGACGTAGATTGTGAAATGGTTAAAAACAATGAATTTGACAAAAATCTGCAATTTACAGACTGGAAAAGAAGTAATTCCATTTTTGAAAGTTCAAAATCGAAAAAAATTCATAGCAAAAGAAAACTCACCGTAAAACTCTGACGGCGTTTTGTTCGTTGGCCAGTGCAGTTCGAAGTGTGCTTATTTCCAATCGCAGTTGTTTGGCTTGAGCGTTTAGCTTTTGCACGGTATTTGCGTGAATATTTTCATATTTCAATCGCAATTTATTAGTTTCGGCATTTGGTTTGGCATCTTTCGGTTGTTTTGCGGGTGGTTTGTCCATGTGCAACCCATCTGCTTTGATCGATGTCTGGTTGTTCTCTTTGTGTTTGCGAATTTCGATTTTCTGACGTTTGTTTTCATGCTCAACAATCGCGTATTCAATGTCATTTGTGTCGTTTTCAACACCAATCCCGTCGATTGATGTCGATTTCTTGCGCTTGGTTTTCCTTTTCAGCCCATCGCTACATGTTTCTTGTGGTTGAACCTCTTGTTCATTCAAGCGTGTTTCTTCATTCTTCTCGATGACTTCCGTTGAATTTGGTTCGTTTTCGATTTGACGAACCAAAGATTCATCGGATTTGACTTGATTCTCCGGTTGAGCGTTCACCATTTTGGAACGTTTATCCAAAAATGTCGTTTAAATGTTATGTTTTATTCAAAGTGGCAATTTTCTATAAAACGAATACGTTTTTTCTCCGCTTTTGCTTTCCGTCTCTTTCAAAGGTTCACTAAGATGAGCTGTGAGCAGAAAGCTCATTAGCATTTGAATAGTTTTGAAACTTTTGTTGAACTTTGACAGGCTTTGCGAATTAGAATACAACAGTAAAGCTTGGAGGAGGTGAATTTGTTCGTTTAAATTTTTTTCTGCAAAGAAAAAGAAAGTTGAAAATCAGAATTAGTTATGACTTTTTTGAAACTATATGAGATTAAATAAGGAAGAGTTTATCTAATTAAAATATAATATCAGAAATCAAAGTTCAAAAATGATAAAGAATAAATAATTAAAATAAAGTAACATTTGTTGTTGAATTTATGAAAAAAATCTACAGAATATTTGGCAAGAATTCAATAGATTTGAAGATATTTTACTATTTCAAATAGAATTGGCGCTACTAATTGAAGAAGTATGACACTAAATATTATTGGCCAGTTTCCGAGTACAGCTTTAATTCAATTCAGAGAACAATTTTATTCAAATTCATTCTCGAATCTAGTATCGCTCAAATAGTACATACTGAATAATGAATATACACTATTTTTACTAACTGTTTGATGTCAAATGATCAACCATAAGAGACTCTCACTGTAATTCAGCCTACAGTAGTTCTTATTTCAAAAACAACTTTCGCGCCCAACCGATGTTGGTCTAGACGTTAAGTTCTTTTATTGATAAGATAAAAACTCACACGGAACTCGTAATATAATTTGTTTATTGAATGTTATTGCTCTTAATTTGTTTGAATCACATATGATGGTGTTATTGTATGCAAACAAAGAGCGAGACTCACAGTCACACATGTTTACATTCAGTAGTAGTGAACGATCAGCGTTTGCTAAACTTAATGAGATCGACGATTTGATGATAAGGCAATTACTGTGATAAGATAGCACAACGAACCAAACATTTTGTAAGCGATGACTCGCAGAAAGAAATAATCGATCAGTTAAGTTTACAACAATGGATAGTTCAGTGCAATCAAAATGTACGTGGTCATACAGTATTTTTAGTATTTTTTTTTTATTTTGCCCATCGATTAGTTTGATGATAAACCATAAATCTAATTTGATAAGTGGAGATTTCCGAAAAAAGAGATTTGACTTTGTGATCAATAAGATAACATTTGAATGTACAAAATCTAACGAAGAATAATGAAATTTAAACATTCTTTTTTTAATAGTTTGTTTGTTCGTATATTTATGCCAGGTGTGATACCGCAGCGTGTTATTATGGGGATTATGGGCTCGTTAGCCATAATTGTTTCATGGTTATTGCGCGGAAGCTTATCACTAGCGATCACAGAAATGGTTGTCCCATTGAATAACACCGGGAAAAATAATGTATCGATCGTTTGTCCAGTGGAAACGCCGACCACCATCCAAAGTACTATCGTCTCGAAAATGGTCGGTTTTAAATTGAAACTATCTTAACTTTACTATGATTGAAAAACTGTGGTGTGTACGTCTTTACTCGCGTAAACCCAAGTGGACGCTGAACTCCTTTCCACTCTCTTTCTACTCCATTTACACACCTTTGTGTATAATAAATAGGGAAAGGAGTAACGACTCCCTTTTTGTCTCTTCTTCTTCTTCTTCTTCTTCTTCTTTTTAGATGTTGTGTGCTCACCGCGCATAATAATCAGAATATAGGAAGAAGCAGAAAAAGAAGAAAAAGAAGAAGAAGTTGAGACAAAAAGGGAGTCGTTACTCCTTTCCCTATTTATTATACACAAAGGTGTGTAAATGGAGTAGAAAGAGAGTGGAAAGGAGTTCAGCGTCCACTTGGGAATTTACGAAATTCATGTACAATTCAATTAACGACACGTTCCAAAGATGCAATTTACAAATTATTCAAGTGGTACAGCTTATCTCATGTTTAACTGTCGCTCAAATTGTTTTTATCAGATTGGCACGCGATACGATTGGACGCACCAGCAACAGGGATATATTCACTCTGCTTTTGCCTGCGGCTATATCATCACCCATATTCCAGGCGCTTTGCTGGCGCAAAAATTCGGCGGTAAATGGGTTCTAGGATTAAATGTTCTGGCAACGACCATCTGCAATGCAGCCATTCCAATTGGCATTGAGTATGGTGAGTTTTGATAATTTTGTTTTCGAAATATATCAAAAGTTGTGAATCGTTTTTGGGCATTTAAGTATGAGAAATAAATTTCAGGTGGTATTATGGCATTGATATTGCTACGAGCTTTGATGGGTACGGCAAATGGTTCAATGTTTCCAGCACTCAGTGTTTTATTATCAGCCTGGGTTCCGGAGAAAGAACGAGGCAAGCTAGCCACATTTGTGATGGCTGGAGGTGAAGTTCGTATCAAATTCATTTGTATTCATGCGTAATCGTAGAGTGTATTCAATTGGCGCCTTATCAAAAATACTTTCAAAGTTATAAATAAGTATTGTATTTCGATTGACACATAGATAAACTTCGAAATAGGAACCTTTGTAGTTCGAACTATTTAGTCAAACTATATGATTTTAGAAAATTGACACACAGTGATTGCCAAGCACTGATTGTATAGTATACAATGAAAACAAATATATGGGTCATAAATCCGTTTACACGTCATTCGAAAAAAGTCTTCCTATTGGATACATTCTATGCTCATAAATCAAAAAATGAACGATTCATCATGAACTTTTAAATATTTCAAACTCAAATATGTTCAGTGCTCTTAACGATTGGCTTTGTTGGATTTCCAGATTGCAGCAATTTTGTCTTCATATGTATCCGGAATGATTTTGCATCACTCCACTTGGCCGGTGGTTTTCTATTTCTGGAGTTTTGTTGCCCTCATTTGGTTTATTGTTTTTGTAAGCTGAGCGCGAAGCGTTCGCCGAAATCAATATTTGAATTTGACTCGAATTTGAAACTAATTGTTCTGCACTTTCTTTTAGACTTTAATCTGTTCCAATGACCCATCCTCGAATTCATTTATTGGAAGACGAGAGCTGGATTATTTAAAACGTGAAATCGGCCAATTGAAACGAAAGAAAAATTTACCACCGACACCATGGAAAGAGATTTGCTTCTGTATGCCTATCGTTATATTAACGGTTACTCAGGTAATACAATCTGTAGTGGGTATTTCAACTTACAGTTAATAAGTGTCCAAATTATTTTTAAATGTTGGAATTGAAATTCAAGTGAAATTTCGAATTCACAGATAATCGGTGACTATGTCATGACCATTGTGGGCATATATTTACCAAAATATATGAAAGAAGTGCTTGGTTTTTCGGTACAAGACATTGGTTTCTACCTTTCATTGCCACACGTATTGAAATTGATTGTATCACTGTTATCGGGTTTTGTGTCAGATTATTTGATCAGTGAACAGTATCTATCAACGACGCAAGTGCGGAAAATATTCGCTGCACTCGGTAAAAGTCTTCTTTGTAAATTTAACACCCTGTTTCGTCGCTTTTCATTCACAAAGAGTGTAATATCGTTTGTTGTAGCTAGCGTTTTTCCAGCGGGTTTCATTGTTGCTGCCGTCTATGCGGGATGCAATCGACTGCTGGTTGTAATTTGGTTTGTGCTGTCATTTGGATTTCAGGGCTTTTTTTACTCCAGCTTTCGCATTAACATATTGGACTTGGCTCCAAACTATGCCGGCCCAATCATGGCTGTTATCAACGGAATATCCTCATCAGCTGGCATTGTTGCGCCAAATATCGTCGGCACGATGATATCCGATGTAAGTGAATGATGGAATGGAATGAAAATACAATGAAATTAAAATTCAAAAATGAATTTTCTTCGTTTCAGTCAACGCATGAACAATGGAAATTCGTATTCTGGATTTCATTCGTGTTGGCTGTGTTTCGAACTGTCATTTATACAATCTGGGGATCGGCTAAAATTCAGTCGTTTAATGAGCCGAAAAAGGTACCAGAAGCAGCTGAGCTTACAAGACTCAATGAAGATGGTAAAGAGAGAGAAACCAAAAAATAAATAATTATAGCCGCAACACTGCAAATTGTTATGAAATTTTTTTTTCTCGAATAAAATAAAAACTTTAATTTCTTAGCTTGTCACGATTGCTATCCTGCAAGATCTTTTACGTTTAAAATATGTGTAATCGTGAGCAATCGTGCCTTTACATAGTAAAAAAAACTCGCTTTTATATTATATTTTCTCGGTATTTTTTGTTTTTTCAAACAATTTTATTTTAACTTCAATTTTACTCATTACAAAAAGAAAAAGAAGTGTGAAAAAAAGTGAACTTAGTCAAAATTTCGAATTTTTCAATCAAATAATTGGCGAGCGAAATGCCAATCGATCCAGTTCACAATGAATCCTCTCCCTACGGCGAATGGCATTGGTGATAATGGTTTTGGTGGTAACGATGGAAGTGGTTTGTATGGCTGCGGTACACCTTTTGCCTGTGTTGATCCAAAATCTAGTGCGGCTAACATTAAAAAGATCACAACAATTCCGAAGATTTTCTTCATTTTCGCTTCGTTCAAGTACACCTGAATGTAAATTGTAATTTATTTGAATTTCAAGTACCGTCTGAGGTTTATATAGCAAAAATTTATCTGAAAACTGATTAGTAAAATATTGATAGTTAAAAATCCCTCGTGAAGATGTATCAATAATATGTGATCTGTGAATCACCAAATTTTAAGAAGATTAACCGAATTTCAGCTCATGATCTTTTAACTCGTGGAAAGGTTGCGCTGACTCACTGCACTGAGATTGTGTCGTGAAAACCGATATTGGTTTTGGTTTCAACAATTAACAACAGAGAAAATAGGTTAAAATCGACAAAGTCGTTGGTGAAAAGTAAGGGAAACGCCTGAAATTATACAACCTATAAATCGAATACCGAATTCAAGAAGTTGAAAATAGAACTACCTCAGTCGGAGAAGTAGAATACATGTTTTTCTTTCGTTGAAACAGATAAAATTAAATTTGTTGAGCTTTTTTATATATGTACAGAAAAGAAATGATTCATTTGAATGAATCATAAAATATCACATTGAAAGCAACTTGTGAAAAAAATTTATTCACATTCATCACGTAATCTCATAAAATTGTTTAAAATGCATACTAATCAGTTTATGCCGAAAGCCACAGTATGTACACTTTGAAATGAATTTTAATTATAGACAAAACACATATCGTTGCAGAACCACCGGGATCCACCTAGGTCGGTTCTTTCTGTTTACAAAAAACTCTCGGGAATTTTTTTGCCATCAATTCGATTTGGAGAGAGTACGTTTTTAATTGTCTAACAAATGGTATATAAGCTATTGCAAGATCCCGAAATTCAAATCAGTTTCAGTTTGTAACGCAGGACAGAGTGAAATATTCAACGATGAAGAGCATTTTCGGAATTTTGGCCATGATTTTGGTGTTTGTGACTGTGGCATTTGGATCACCAGAACCAGGATTTGACCGACCAGGTGGTCGTCCGGGTGGTTTCGGAGGGAAACCAGGCACTCCACCATTCATCAATCGACCTAAACCACCACAAAGGCCACCCAAATTTGCTTAATTTTACGGAATAAACAATAGCAAGATAGTAACTGACATTAACTCTCAAATTTAAAATGTCTTTGAATAGATCAGAGTTCATCGAATTTGAATTGTTAAAATGAATCTTTATCTTTAAATTTAATAGTATCGATGGGATTAAAAAAGAAATGAAATAAATAATTTAAAAAAAAAATGAAAATGATCAAAATTATACTTTGTTATTAACTGTGTTCTCACACATAGAGAAGAGAATTAGTAAACCCTGCAAATTCTATTGGTAAAACGTCAAACTACCAAATGGTTTCAAATGTAATGGTAAATTTAATATAAATGACACAACGCAAGTCGCAAGTCACTTACGTAGTATGAGTAAACGAAATTTCTCATTTGTACTGAAATTACCAATACATTTGAAACAATCTGTTGGAAGTTTGACATTTCACCAATAGAACGATTTTGCCTAACAAACTTTATTCTCTATGTGCCTATTAGGCATATTTCAACAGGCTGAATTCGGCTTGAGTAGCGAGTTTTTCCTAAATTCCGTGGAATTATCTCCACTAAATTGTTGTCATGTGTCTATTGCTACAGAAGGAGGTGTTGAGCTGTACAATGATTCAAGAAAGGTATTGAAAAAATGGAGTACATACATCGTGAAGCGAATGTAGCCAGAGTGATTATATGCACGTTAATTGCGTGATAATTCAGAAAAAATGAAACGAAAAAAAAAAAAACTAATCAGTAATTCGTTCTCGCGTGAAACGACTCAGAGGAAAAATGGAAATTCAAGGGAAACCTGGAATATAACGAATACATTCACTTACAAATAAACATTTCAATACACTGAAATACTCACTCATGGTGATTCAAAGTTATCTAAAACCATAGGGGTATTGCAACTACCATAAAATATATGTATTTCATCAAGTTTATCAAGCTCTTTCCAAGTTTATGCATAGTGTTGAACTTTTGTTCAAGCTCTACCATCGAAATGTACAGTAAAATAATTTACGGGCACGACGTAAGATGGCGTTTTTTCTGGTCAAAAAAGTTGCAATATCCCTTTGTCTAAAACCAAATGCGCAACATTTCAAATCATGTGTGATTCTTTTTTATGGGGATTTGGTAAAAACTTTTCGATTTGATTGTGATCAGGGAAATGGGATCATTTCATATGTTTCATTCTAACATCATAATTCATGCTTAGCGATTGTCTTTTCATGATTGTCTTTTCAAGAAGTGTGATCTGACGAACGGTTTACATTATACAGGCGTTCAAATGTTGCCTGTCTAAAGGCGGTTGTATGCACTAGATGGTTAAGATAACTTTTTTTTGTATCTTCTATTTTGCAATTGTAATGACTTTTTAATAGTTGAAATGATCATTTAGAGCTATCTTGATCATTCATAAATTATTATTATTCACAATTTTATTTATTTGTTTTAGACCGAGTTCATCAGTTTCCTGAAAGATAATGCGATTATCTTTAATAAGGCCGACATTCAAAATATTCTTTATTTTCATCTTTATCTTTTGCAATTTACGATATCTTCCTACCGATATCAATGAAGAAATATGCTTCACTTTTCTCACAATTTGCATGTCAGAAATTAGTTGACTTCGCACTGATATTCGTCGTGTTGTCCAAAATTCGCAGCAGAATTTTCTTCTCAGTTTGAATATACATATATCTCGATCCACTGAAATGGGGAATGTTGGTCAAAGCATGGCAATTGTCTCCCTTCACTTTTATCGTTTGGCACAGATCTTGTAGTTTAAGGCGCCAATTGTAGATCAATCAGAAGCGCCAATGACCGAGTTTGCAATCATTTTAATGAATTCCGAATCAGATATGCGAACACCGCTGTGAATAACCGTTCTGTAGAACGGTGATCAGGTGTTTATTTGCCATTTTTTCTCACACTTGAAATGTGATCGAACTTGAGTTCAAGCGGTTCTTGAATTAAACACTTTCGACGTAATCAGCTCGAAAAACAAAACAAAAAACGGTGAAATTCTTCATTCACATTCACTTCAACAACGGATTTTTTTAGATAAAAACTGCAGCTTCATTTTAGCTATATAAACGTTCCTCACCAAATATGAAAGTTCAGTTTGGGTAAAAAAGACCAGTCGATTAGTTGTTAAAATGAAGTACTCAATCATTTTCGTGTTGCTTTTGGTGAAATTCTGTGAATCGAACGATTTTGAGTGTGGCATATCCACCGACCATATGGAAGCGGTTGAGTTTTACTGCACAGATTACACAGGAGTTAAGCCAGAGAATTGCTCGGAGACGTTCTTGTACACAACATGTCGATATGACAAATTCAAAGTGAAAAGTTTAAAAGTTGGCGGCTGCGATGCAGATGAAGTTGTGAAACTTGTGCAAGAATTTGAAAATCTGACTTGTTTGGACCTTTCCTATTCTGGTATTGTGTCTTTGGACACATTCAATTTGGAGCATGAACATTTGAAGAAAATGAACATTTCACATAATCACCTGACCGAAGTGCCGTCGAAATTCTTCGCACAAATGCCTGAGCTGGTTGAAGTCGATTTCTCATTTAACGAATTGAACAAAATCGACGAACTACCCACAAAATTGGAGAAAATTGATGTGTCAAGCAATAAAATTTCACTGTACACAATTCTACAGAATCGCGCAAAATTATGCTGATATGAAAACAAATGAGCAGAAGCACTGCGAAAGGAGAGGTAGGAGTAGTAGAGAATTGAAAAAGGAAAAAAGTGAAGCCGATGAAAGAAAAATCAAGCAATGCTTGATTCAACTCAACTGTATACATTGATGGGCTGTATATCAACTTAGCTATAAAATGGTTAAATTATTTATTTTTATAAATTAAAAATTGAAATCTTAAGACAATGAAATGCAAAGAAAATATAATAAACAAAATTCTTACAAAATAACTTGAATTGCTCAATAAATTTAAGAAATGTAAAGAAAATATTTAAAATCTGAAGTTTCATAGCAACATTTTTAATACGAGAATAAATATAAAGGAAGAAAAATCATGATTTATTTCAGTAGTTGTGTGTTTAACTTCGTTTATCGCCTGCAGTTTTTTATCTCGCTTTGCGGAACACCAAAACATCCGTTGCTTCAACCACAATGACGACTTGAGCCGAAAAAATACTTTTCTAGATTTCAAGCTATCGTTAACTGGACTTGAACTGGCCTGTTTCAAGCTTTAATCGAGTTGAACTGTGTAATTTTAATGGATAAAATGCGCAATTTTGTGGATCATATCATTCAGACCCATACATATTTATTTCAATTCACTGGTCATTCAGAATCAAAATCATGGTTTAGATGTTGTTTGCAAGAATTCTGCTGGGCATTATCGTGGATTTGAAACATTTTTGCTTTGACCTTCGTGCAACCGCGATAAGTTTTCAACTTTGAATCACATACAAGTTTATCGAATTCATTTGCTTGTGTATTCACAATGTAAAAATCCATCAAATCTGTTTTGTCAACATTTGGAATGTAGGAACTTATCGAAGTTGTGGCTACATAAAATTCTTATGCAATCCAAAACAATCAGTTGACGGAATAAGGTCAAGTCCGTATCCTGTGTTTTTGCAAATTACATTCTCTAAAGCAACGCCCAGAAGAAGCATTTAAAAATAATTTTGTTGCCTCTCATCGTAGTTCGTCCAAGTGCTCGTCGTCACCAGTTCTACGTACAAATCAATTTAAAAAAAAAAATGTACCTCTTTGAAAAACAAATAATATTCGAAAAATGCGATCAATTAAAAAAAGTAACACCTCAAAAAATTATCCTATCGATCATTTTCGTATTGTTCTTTGTCAAATTTTGTTCATCGAATGATTTTGAATGTGGCTATTCCGACGATAAAATGGAATCGATTGAATTTTACTGCACAGATTACGATAGCACGGTGCCTGTGGATTGTTCGATGGCGTTTTTCCTCACCATCCAATCGTATAACAAATCAAAAGTGACGCATTTAAAAGTTGGTGGCTGTGATAATGACCAAGTCAAGCGGCTCGTCGATGATATGCCGAATTTGTTGTCTTTGGACCTTTCCCACTCAAGAATCGCATCATTTGATGCATTAAATTTAACGCATGAACGATTGGTGAAAGTGAACGCTTCGTTTAATTATCTCTCTGAAATTCCACGGAGTTTTTTTGCTCACATTCCAAATGTCATTGAAGTGGATTTTTCACACAATCATTTAAATGGAATTATCGATCTGCCAGACAGCTTGACATACATCGATTTGTCATATACAAAAATTTCATCCATTTATCAAGATTTCAACGATCTTTCGAAGACACATGATTTTGCGTTAAAAACACTGCGAATTAGTGGCAATCCGATTCGTGTGTTTGACTGGAAAATTTTGCCATTAGTCAAAAGTGGCTACTCATTACACATTTCATGGAAACAAATCAGAGAGTTCAAAGTATGGAATTACTTAGACGAACCGGTTCGTGTGGTTACAAACAGTGACGAAGAAGGACTGTTGCATGCGTCGAATGGAACAATTGAATTTCATTGTCGAGAAGACAGCTTCAAAAGTATAAACAGATTTGAGCTGATTGATAATAACATAGCAAATCCAACAGATATCATCAATTGTCTTGGATCAGGGCTTAAATATTTAACATTGTCTGGAGAATTTGGCGAACAATTGAAATCTACTTCACTTGCGCGATTCGTTGACTTGAAGGAACTGTGTTTACATAATGCACAATTGTCGGAGTTTGACTTCAGCATTTTGAAAAGCATGACAAAAATTGAGTTTTTGGATATTTCGCGCAACAACTTAGAACGAGTTGGTAATATTTCATTTTTGGAGCATGCTAAAAATTTGATTCATTTGAATGTGGCAGAAAATGATTTGGAATGCACACCGGAACTGATTCAATACGTGAGTTCGTCCGTTTTGACGTTACGATTGAATGGCAATTACGTGGGCAAGTTGAATATTGGAACTTTTGACAAATTAACCAATTTGCAATATTTGTACTTGGCCAATACGAGCCTCTCGTTGGACAACGCAAAGCCATTTGAATCGCTAAAGCAGCTTCAAACACTGGACATTTCCCACAATAACTTGGAGAATGCCAATTTTACTTCATTATCGTCGTCGCTGGAAAATTTGCGCACATTTCAAGCGATTGATTGCAAAATTGGAAATGCATCACAATTGATGAAACTGTTTGAAAAATCGCCATTTCTTTCGAAACTCGATTTATCAGGCAATTTTTTGAGTGAATTGAATGCAACTGCTTTCGAAGAGCTACAGTACTTGAATTTATCGAACACCAATTTATCGAAAGTTGATTTTGGCATTCTTGAACATAAACCAAAATTAGAATTGTTAGATCTTAGTTTTAATCAACTAGAAAATGTGAACTTTGTTTCGGTTTTGAGCTACTTGGACTCGCTTCGCTTAGGAAGGAATCATTTGAAGGATTTGAACACTTTTACGAAATCACACTTTCCGCGACTTGCATCCCTCGATATTGCGAAGAATGAATTTTCATGCGATTATTTAACCGAATTTGTAGCTCAGCTCAAACAAGAGTGGCCTCACTTGAAAATGATCAATTCCCCATGGGAACAAAATATGTTTAAATGCCATCCTGGAAATTGATAGTTTTTGGAAATTCGAAGGGCGATCTATGGTATCATCGCACAATGTGACATCGCATGGCCTATATTGATAGGAGATCAAGGAGATGATAAGAAAAACGGAAGCAGACAATTCATTTTGCAGTATTGTTAAATTTAATCCGAAATCATTTTTATTCTTAAGACGAATGGAATTTTCAGCAATAAATCTTGGAATAGATGAGAATTGATTTTTAGTATTTAATTGAATTGCTCCGAAGTCAAATCTGAACAGCTGACAAGATCATTTCGATGTTAGTTTCGAAGAATTGAAATACAAGATGACATTAATTTTTGGTCATCAAAAAGATTTTGAAAAAGGGAAAAAAAATGTTAATTCAAAACGAAAGGAAAAGCCTAAATTACTTATGAATAAAATTAAATTGTTGAATATTGGAGTAAGAAGCTATTTTCATATAAAGTTAATTGAAATTATTCTTCTTTTTGAACGGACACACTCTCTGTGTTTTCATGTATGTTGTTCGCATGTGACGTCATTTATCCATATCGTAAGTAACTGAAATTCAGCCAATAAAATTTATCACTTCTCAGTAGAACAACCGGTTTGTCTCCTTATCCCTCCTTCGTTTTCCGAGACAAAGCAAATGAAATAACGTGTTTATGCGTGTTAATCAGCATAAATGATACTTTACAGCTGAAACACAAACTCTATCAGTCTGGTCACAGTGTGACAGTGTCAAAAGCCCGAAGTAAAATCAAATGAAACGAGTCGATCCGATCAGTCTAGTAAACAACGTCACAGTGACAACACATTTTGTGCTGTTCGCGTTGATTCGTCTCTAAAAATGAAGCACTCGGTCGTTTTTGTGTTGTTTTTGATAAAATTTTGTGAAACAAATGACATTGAATGCGGTCGTTTGGATGATACAATGCAATCAGCTGTGTCGGTCGAGTTTCATTGTGCGCAATTCGAGGGAACATTGCCTGTGAATTGTTCATCATCGGTTGCGAGCATAATTAATAAAACAAATGTAACTGCATTGAAGGTTGGTGGCTGCGATTATGACAGCATCAAGCAGATCGTTGAGAGTTTTCCAAATTTACAAGAAATAAATATAAAACAAATTTCTAACATTGGTTTCGATCGAGTATTTCCTGATAATCACAAATTGAGAATATTGCAACTGGAGAGAAACAAGATTAGCGAATTTGACTGGAGGTTTTTCCCATTGGTGCAACGAGCTTCAGTGGCAATTTCATGGGAAGATATCAACGAATTCGAAATTATTGATGCTTTAGATAAACCGATTCGCATCGTAGTGAATAGTGAATATGAAGAATCGAGCAGTCGAAACAATCAAAATGACGGTCTTTTCCAAACATCCAACGGACAAATCGAACTACATTGCCGTCCAATGAGCTTCAAAGCGATAACGAAATTTAAAATCCACAGCAATCACATTGAAAATCCGGAAGAAATTTTACGTTGTTTATCACCGACTTTAGAAGTGTTGGAACTAATCGGTAGCTGCACAGAAAAACTGAGCTCATTATCACTTGAGCCGTTCCAAAAGTTGATAAAACTTACTTTGAAGTCAATGTTAAAAGATTTTGATGCGAGTGCAATGAAAAATCAAAAAAATTTAGTTGAATTGAATATTTCTCAAAATAATTTGACAAAAATTAGTAACGCTCACTTTTTAAACAACTTCAACGATTTGTTAATTTTTAAAGCTCATGAAAATCAAGTGGAAAATACTCCCGAGTTGATACAACACTTGGCTTCTGGAATTACCATTTTGGATTTAGGCGAAAATTTCGTGGGAAAATTAAATGCCACAACATTTGTAAGATTCACCAATTTGATGAATTTGGACTTGAGTAACACAAATCTTTCATTCGACGATTTGCGACCATTTGAAGCTCTGAGAAAATTGGAAGAACTCGATATTTCTCGTAACACACTAGAAAGTGTGAATTTTGAGTCAATATTGGCTTTCAAAAGATTACAACGATTTTATGCTACTGATTGCAAAATTAAAAACGCTTCGAAGTTGATAAAATTATTTGGATCATCATTATCACAGCTTGATTTATCGGGCAATGAATTGGGAGCGATTGAAGCAAACACATTTGAACACATTGACAACTTGAATATTTTAAATTTGAGCAGAACCAATTTACTGAGCTTTGATTTTACTGTTATTGCACATGAAATAGAACTAGTTACTGTTGACTTAACGAAGAATAAACTAGAAAACATAAACATGAGTTCAGCACCAAAACATTTGCAATCACTTTTTCTGAGCGGAAATGAACTTAAAGAAATTGGAGATTTAAAACGATCGAATGTCCCTCGACTAATGTATTTAAGCCTAGATGAAAATCAACTATCGTGTGAATATTTAAGCACATTCATGCCGCGAATAGTACAAGAATGGCCACGATTAAGATTTACCAGCGATTCATGGCAACAAAAACATAAGCAAGCATGCATATTTTAGGAAGCATTACCACTGGAGTGCATCATTCAGAAGATGTTGGAAATAAGTTAAATTGTTTATCTTTCAATTCAAATTCATTGTGATCCTTTTAAATAAAAGTTAAAACGGACATCGTTTTTGTTTCATTACATATGCGTGTATTTATGTGCAGCATCCACTAAAGGGCGTGTGGTTTGGTATTGGCGTAGGTGAAACAATGGTTTCAACTATGTCTAAATGAATTTAACCAAAATGCCGGAGTTTATGCATTTGTTTATGATGTCATAACATTCAATGTCATTTGATTTGCACAATTTGAACAAAAACAACACAACATCGATAGAGTACCACATTTTGTGAAATGAATCAGTGCAAAGCGCACACAGGAAGCTAGACTTTGTTTACTGAATTTAATGTCCAGAAGACGAGAAGGGGTAAAGAAGCAGCCGACAAGAATAAATTGCACAATTATCAAATTTATTTTGACATAGTCCGACAGCAATAAAACAAACATAGACAAGCTTCGAAAAAACTTTCTCCCATTCAATTTAAAGCCACAGTCAAATCCAAAGAGATAACACATTACATTGCTACTGATAGAGTCAACAAACGTATGTTTTCTTTTCCTCTTTTTCGTTATCTTAACAGCTTTTCGACAGTCTTATAAACTCTGCACAATGATTGCATATTGAAATTACTTTTTTATTTGCGATTAAGTTCATGAAATGTATTCTTCTATTTCATTTCATACTGTTGTACAAATGTTTGAGATTTATTAAAACGAATTCTTTTAATTGAACTAAATTTAATAGATTGTTAGAAACTTTGTTCGTTGCAGTTTAATTCGATTTTTCCGTCGGATGTATGGAAAAAGCCTTCGGTTTCACCGCTTGAATCGTGGATTTTGCTGTCTTCACACCATTCCGATTGGAATTCAGCGATGTGCTTCCATGGAATAAACACCGATGCTCCTTTCTTTACTAATGCCAAAGTGCCGCAATCAATATTTCAAATTGGATTGGCTTCCAAATGAAGCGTTTTCAATTTAGTGCTGCTGTTGAATATCTCGTAATCCATTTCAGAAATTGAATTGTGACTCAAATCCATGTGTTCCAAATCGACGAGATGCAAAAAATCGTCTTGGTTCAACGATGTGATTTTGTTATGGCTCAAATTCAAATCGACGAGGTTTGAGAAATCTTTGATGAGCTTTGTGACGTCTTCATCACATCCACTGATTTTTAATCGATTCACTTTGACTTTATCAGATATGCTCGCGTATGAAAATGATGGGAGGCAACCTTCAGGTACAGTTTCAAAGTTTTCACAGTACAACTCAACCGATTCCATTCCATTGTCCGACAGAGTGCATTCAAAGTCGTACGAATCACACCAATTTATGAAAAAAAAAACACGAAAATGATTGAGTACTTCATTTTCGAGGCGGTTTTAAAGCAGTAAACCAGAGATGGAGTAAATGTATATCAATTCGTTGAATTTACTGTACTCGGTACAGTACGGTATATTTACATTGATTTACCTTTGCGTTAAATAACGCGTCCGCTCTCACTAAAATATGAGTTGACGCATGTGCTCCGCGCGTTCAACGCAAAGGTAAACGTTTAAGTATATACCGATACACATTTCCATACACTTGCGGTAAACGATCAACCATCTCTGCAGTAAACACTTTTTTCAATAAATCGGATTTATTTAGTTCAATAAATGTAACGAAAAACAATTCAATGATAACAAAAAAAAACTTTGGAAATCTGAACTTTTTCGAAAAATCTTTTAAAAAAAATTATTCGAGTCTAGAAGATGATGTTTACTTGACTTTATTTTCCAAATGGACCGAATCGAACGGCGAACGGAATTTATAACTATGCGAAAGAGCGCGATAAATGCGGTTTAAAAAGAAATTGTTGCGAAATAAACGAACAAATGTCATCGCATTCCATAAACAAACTGCGAGAAGACGAGCATTTGAGATAAGCAACCATCTGGTGTCAACTTTACGAGATAACACATTGAATTTAAATACAATGTATGACTTCATGATTGAACAAAACTTACAGCTGCGTTAATTTCTCTACATTTGTTTTTGATCAGTTTTTCTGTGCATGGCTTCCTCACGGTAGGCAATAATTGATTAGAAGTTTAAGTTGATTCGACTCTCATCTTGAATAAAAACGATTGCATTTCCTGTATAGTACGAAAACTGTCCCCATAATCAATATTATAGAAACAATTGGAACGGAAATTGTGAAGAGCATTTCGGTAGAATTCGTATCGGTTGCCTCGTTGACATGTCCACTTTTGATATTTTCAATCGGCATTCCATCAGTGGCTCTACGTTGATTTTGAATAGTACAATTTTCTCCATGTTTTTGTTGCCATGGATTGTCACTATATTCCAAATTCGGCCATTTAACTTTAAGTTGTAGCAAAAGTTTATCCAAATAGTCACATGGAAAGCGATTCAGTGAAATTGACATCTCTTTTAGATTTAAAATACGAGACTCAGTAACGCCATCTAATTCGTTCAAATCGTTGTCACTCAAATAAAGTTTTGTCAAGGTACTGGGCAATAGTGCAAGATTTGCACGCTTCAAATTGTTGTTAGATACATGGATTGTGATTAGATTTTGCTGATTTTGAAGTACATTGAAGTCGAAATTGGGTGCATTCATTTGACGCAAGAACAAATACTGTAAATTTTTCATTTTCTTAAATATACTTGAATCCACTGCTCCTAATGAATTTCCAGACAAGATGAGTTGATTGAGGGGTTCACCTAAGAGCTTAATTATTTCCGATGCATTATTGATATTACAGTTGAAAGCATGGAAATGTTTCAAATTGTTCAAAGTTGACGATAGCATCGTGAGATTTGTGTTTTCTAAATTATTTTCAAAAATGGAAAGGTATCTAAGGTTTTTTAGTGGTTCAAATGGATTTGAATCGATGAATGATAATTCTGTGTTAGCCAATTCAAGAGACTCTAGTGAGGTTATATTTTCAAATGTCCGATTATTTATTTGACCTACAAAATTTCCAGATAATTTGAGATCCTGAAGTGATGGTCCAAGAAATTTTACCAAATCTAAAGCATGGATATCACAGTAAATCACGTAAAATGTTGTTAAATGTTTTAAAGTCGGCGATAACAGTTCAAAGTTGACATTTTGTAATTTGTTGTTAGAAATGTTAAGCAGCGTTAGTTTCTTAAGCGGTGCAAATGGGTTTTGATCAGCGACGAATGAAAGATTTGTAGTAGACAGCCATAAAGATTGTAAATTTGTAAATTTTGCAAATGAAAAGACGTTTATCGCTCCCACGAAGCTGTGTGATAAGTCCAATCCCTCAACTAATGGATGTAAATGTTGAATTATCTCTAGCGTATTTTCTAATTGTTCTTCATTGATTACAAAATTTTCAATATTACCAAGGTTCCCTAAATACGAAATATTTGTCATCTTCTTCAGAGAATTGTTCATGATTATGAGCGTGTCTAACATTTTCATACTATTCAATATGCTCAAATCCAATTCTATTAGCTGTGTATTTTCTATTCGAAAATAATTTAAACCAACGAATTGATTAAATAGACTAGAATCTAACTCTTCTGCAATTGGACCGGACAGTCTCAATTCGGTCAGCTCCTCGGAAAAACAATTTATTATTTCCGCACCAAAATTATCAACTGTAAATTTCTGGAACTTTTTTAGACTGTGTTTATTGCAATGTAATGCGATTGGCCCGTCCAAAGTGGGTGCATAACCTTCATCTTGTCTGTTTGGGACTACACGAATTCGATGATCTTTACACTCAGTGTTCAACTCGGTGATGTATTTCCAAGAAAAATACACCGACACTCCACGTTCTACAAATGATAAAAAATCACAACCGAACTTTGAAATTGGATTGTTCTCCAATCGTAGAGTTTTCAAAATGATGTTATCACTAAACAAACTTAAATCAATTATTGAAATGAAATTGTAACTCAGGTCTAGAAAAGTCAACTTATCGAGTCTTTCGAAAGCCATTTTATCCAATGATGATATTTTATTGTGTGATATATATAATTTTTTTAATTTCACCGGTAATATCCACCAAAGAAATGTTAAATTATTGTACGAAATGTCAATTTCAGTTAGTTCGGGAGTTTGTAAATAAAAATTCCACGGATATTTCGATATTTGATTATGTGATGCGTTCAAAATGACTAAATGTCGATGTTGTACAGACAACGACTCTATCCTGGAGTCGAAAATGTCTAACGAATTTAAATTTGGATAGTCTTCGATAAGTTTATTTATTTTATCAACAGAATATTCAGCAATTTTCACATTTGCTTTATTAATTATGTTCATTTGAGAAAAAGTTGTTGTACAATTTGGCACTAGCACAATTCCGTTGAAACTCGATGAATATATCTCAATGGACTCCATTTTTTCATCTTCATAGATGATGCAATTGAATTCATTCAACTCAGACAATTTTATAAAAAATACGAGTAACAAAATCGCACACTTCATTTTGAAAAATTATTCGTTTTGAAGAGCACAACAAACGACTACGTTTAATGGACGTCAAACAATTCATCTTATTACACTCTGGATTTGGACTTTTATAATAGTTCGGCTTCCTGCTTTTCACAAATTTTTATATTCCAGAATCAGTAGTGATAATATGGAGACGCATATGTTTGTTAGTCTTTTGGGAGAAGTTAATCTTTTGAGATAATCTCAAAAATGTACCGCGTGGTTTAGTAGTTATGAAGTTTCACGAATTATGAAAAGCGATACAAAAATTTATCGAATTTCCAGCTCAACCCAAGTTTTAATGCTTCGACAAAGCAAAATGCAGAACAAAAATGCTTCCACCCGCTGCTCGTTTGATAAAATTCGTTAGAATGATAAATATTATACGCAGTTATTAACTTCAAAAAAGAAATTACTTTCAAATTGTTATTAACGTACGCATTCAGGGTATGAATTTGAATATATCCTGCTTAC